GTGGAGGTGTAGTGGAGTAGGAGGGGTGTGGTGGAGTGGGTGGGGGTGTAGTGGAGTGGGTGGGGGTTTATTGTAGTGGGTGGGGGTGTAATAGAGTGGGTGGGGGTGCAGTGGAGAGGGGTGGGGGTGTAGCGGGTTGGGTGGGGGTGTAGTGGTGTGGGTGGGGGTGTAGTGGAGTCGGTGTGGGTGTAGTGGAGTTCGTGCAATGCGTGGGGGTGTAGTGGAGTGGATGTGTGTATAGTGGAATGGTTGAGGGTGTAGTGGAGCGGGCAGAGGTGTAGTAGAGAGGGTGGGGGAGTAGTGGAGTGGGTGCGAATGTAGTGGAGTGGGTGGGGGTGTAGTGGAAAGAGTACTCCCCTATTTGTACTCACCTATTTGTGCTTGTGGGGTTTCAGCTCGGAATAGTTAAGTAGTTAAGTAGTTAAGTTCCGCCTCTCAACTGCCAATCAACTGGTGTACAGGATCCTGAGCCTACTAGGCTCTATCATATTTACACTTGAAACTGTGTATGGAGTCTGTCTCCACCACATCACTTCCTAAATGCATTCCATTTGTCAACCACTCTGACTCTAAAAAAGTTATTTCTAATATCTCTGTGGCTCATTTGAGCACACAATTTCCACCTGTGCGTGTGCCCCTTGTGTTAAATAGCCTGTTTTTATCTACCCTATCAATTCCTTTCCGAATCTTGTATGTGGTGATCATGTCCCCCCTTACTCTTTTGTTTTCCTGCGACGTGAGGTTTAATTCCCGTAGTCTCTCCTCGTAGCTCATATCTCTCAGCTCGGATACTAGTCTGATGGCAACTTTTGAACCATTTCCAGTTTAGTCTTATGCTTGACTAGATATGGACTCCATGCTGGAGCTGCATATTTCAAGATTGGTCTGACGTATGTGGTATACAAAGTTCTGAATGATTCCTTACACAAGTTTCTAAATGCCGTTCTTATGTTGGCCAACCTGGCATATGCCGCTGATGTTATCCTCTTGATATGGGCTGCAGGGGACAGGTCTGACGTGTTAAAGTCTGTCTCTCTCTCTCTCTGACTCTTGAAGAGTTTCATCTCCCAAATGATACCTTGTATCTGGTCTCCAGCTCTCTACACCAATCTTCATTACATTACATTTGCTTGGGTTAAACTCTAACAACCATTTGTTCGACCATTCCTTCACATTGCCTAAGTCATCTTGAAGCCTCAAGTAGTCTTACTCTGTCTAAATCCTTCTCATAATTTGGCATCGTCAGCAAACATTAAGAGAAATGAGTCTATACCCTCTGGGAGATCATTTAGGTATATCAGAAACAGGATAGGACCGAGTACAGAGCCCTGTGGTACTCCACTGGTTATTTCACGCCAATCTGAGGTCTCACCCCACATTGTAACTCACAGCTTGGTAGTGCTTAGGTATTCCCTTATCCACTGGAGCACCTTACCAGTTATTCCTGCCCGTCTCTCCAGATTATGTATCAGCCTCTTTTGGGGTACTGTGTCAAAGGCTTTTCGACAATCCAAGAAAACACAATCGACTTGAGAATGGTCCAGGACGGACCAAAACGTTGTTGTCCAATCAGTTTCTAGTGTGTGGTTTGGTCAATATATTTCAGCCACGTTATTTTGACTCCTCGTCTGCAAAATGTAGTCCGCCCAGCTTTTTCTTTCTTGCTTAATCTTTGTGACCTGGTCGTAGAATTTTATTAAGTTGGAGGTGTAGGTGAGTGGGAGGATGTGTAGTGGAGTGGATTGAGGTTTAGAGGAGTATATGGGGATGTAGTGGATTGGATGAGGGTGTTGTGGGATGGGTGGAGGTTTAATGGATGACTGGATGTGTAGTGGAGTGTGATGAAATATACTGTAGAGGGTGCGGTTGTAGTGGAGTGGGTGGGGGGTTTATTGGAGTAGGTGAGGGGTGTAGTAAAGTTGGTGGGAGTGTATTAGGGTGTAGGTGAGTGGGTGGGGATGTAGTGGAATGGGTATAGGTGTAGTGGAGTGAATGGGGGTATAGTGGAGAAGGAAGGGGTGTAGTGGAGTTGGTGGGGGTGTAGTGGGGTAGTTGCGAATGAAGTGGAGTGGATGGAGGTGTAGTGGAGTGGGTGGAAGGGAGGTGGAGTGGGTGGAGGTGTAGTGGAGTGGGCGGAGGGGAGGTGGAGTGGGAGGAGGTGTAGTGGAGTGGTTGCAAATGTAGTGGAGTGGGTGAGAGTGTGAGTTTGGGTGGAAAAAAATGGAATTATACTGTAATGGGTGGGAAAGTGGAGGATGGGAGAACGATGAAATGGGTGGGGTGCTAGATGTGTGTGGAGCATGAAAAGGTGGGTGGGGGTTGAGATGGTGGAACAATAGACGGAGTGTGAAGGACAGGGAGGAAAGTGGATAAGTGTGAAGGGGTGCCCCCTTCCACATTTCCCACGTCCCCTCAAGCAAAGCTGGACAATGGACGTTGATGTAACAGTGAGGTGATAAGGTGGATCTTTCGTTGAATAATTGTTACGCGAACTTTGTTTGCCCATTGTGGGGATGGAGGAATGGACTGTGGGAAAGCTGGAATGGGTGAATGAGTGAGTGGTGGGGAAGAGGCACAGGAAATGGGGAGTGATGGGATAGTGAGTGGAGGGGAAAAAGTAGGGTGAGAAATTGAAGAGTGATGAGGGAGGTATATGAGATTTATTGAGATAGAATACAAGGTGGAAAAGAGAGTAGGTGAAGGGTGGGGACTCGGTGGTATCGATGGGTGGGAGGTTACGTAAAATAGAGGTATAGGGTAGGAAGAAAGAGTAGAGGGAAGGTGGGGTAAGTTGTGGGATATTGAGTGGAAGGTAGAGAAGGATGAGAGTGGGGGTTAGGGGTAGAAAAGTGGTGTAGGGGCAGTGATCAGGTGGTTGCAGGATGTCAGGGTAGGGTAAGTGGTGGGTTAGAAGGTAGAAAAGACGACTGTGGGAGAGGGGGTAGTGTGCTCAGCGTTGGGGGTGGAGGTTTGAAGAGCACCAATTTTGCTGATTGATGATGGTTTTATTGATGGCGTTCCGAATCAAGGATGTTATTCTTTATTGCAGAACAAAGGGTAGGTGATGCAGCTGTTTCTTATCTCCGAGTTATAGCCAATGTTGTTCGTGATAGCGGCTCCTGGTTGCTATCGCTTTACATTAAGATTCTATTCGCTCAGTACCGAGCCTTATTTGTTTCCATTTCCATTAAATCAATTTCGCTATTATATGTACAAAATATACCATGTTGCAATCACTGATAAGTACTCAGTTAAAATGATGAAGATGCTGCCGTTTAATTCTTATGGATTTAATTTCTAGTGTTCCAGGAGGACAGGACGTGATGCTCTTGGCGCTCTTACGGGCTAAATATATTCAACATTTATTTCAGGTCAGCGACTTATTCATCACACTTTAACTCTCTCATCCATGCCATAAATTAGGAAATCTACGAAGCAGGATGAAGTGATAGCACTGTTATCCTACGTCACTCCAGACGAGCGTAAAGGGTGACTTCCTGATGCCAACATTTTCTCACTGACGTTTGACTTAATTCGGATCTCTCTGTGTATAGGACACAAATGCTTTGAAGACGTGTTCTGAATATGGGAATAATTACTTTGAAAAGGGACTTCATTGTTTAAGGCACGGAAAATCCCTGCCAAATCAGCCTAATAGAAACTGATGATAGGACGACAAGGACGATATTAAAGAAAGATGGATGGGTGAGCTTCATATTCCTAGAATACCAGAGAGACTATGACATAGTCGCAACATGAGGGTAGTGCACAAATTAGGTGTAAAAGTGCCAACATTTAACAAAATAACGCCAAAAATTGTTAATTAAGATACCAAATGTTCGTAATGAACGTGGATGCAAACGTTAAAGTTATTAAAAATACTGAGGAAAATTCCGAATGGATTTATCATAATGTAAGAAAATAGCGAATGGAATATCTCGTGTGTCATTCCTCGGAGGTCACAGGTGCAAAATCAAAGTTCATACGTGCCGGAGGTCAATATAAAAACTTGTTTACAGGATAAAGAAATTGAACTAGGGAAATTTTGTAATATAAAGGTATTGAACAAGAGCCTTTTTCGCTATCGAACATGAGGTAGTAATGGACGTTGGTTCCAAATATAACTTAAAGATAACCAGGATCACCACAATAAACAATAGATAAAAGGAAGAGCCCAGGCGCTCGAGCTTTGCCCCTTAAAACATAGCCTTTCATTAAAAGCTATAAATATATGAACACACATGAGACATTAACATGCAAGCACAAGCACAACGTGCAGCTCATGACCGTTCTCATGCCTTCAAGATATCATCACAGCATGGATAACGTCTCCCGTTCATCAGCTTTTCTTCTAAGCTGACGTGAACGTTATATTATTGCAGTGAGCATGATGCGTTGATACATTATGTACACTCTCTAGTCAGGTTCATTCAATTCTAGCGTTTCTACACGTGTTAATGGGAACAGTTGTTACTAGTGCTTCTACACACGTGTGAATGCGAAGGTTACTTCGAAGTCCTCGTGTTATTATTGATAATTCTAACACAGTAGCTTTGTGCTACTGTAACTAATATTACTAGAACTGTCTCTGCTCGTACTACTTATGTTAATACTAGTAGTATTAATACTACATCTGTTCTTAATATTTCTGCTATTACTACGAGGAAAATCTAGTCTGTTTTACTGGTGTTTAGTTTTATGCTGATGGTAGGATTTTCACACACACCACAACTGGGGCAAAATCTACTACAAACACAACAAATTCTACCACAATTATCACTAAATCTACCACAACTACTTCAAAATCTTCCACGACTACCCCAACATCTAACACCGCCATTACCACAATCATTCACAACCCACCTCTATTTCTACCTCCAGAACTACAATTACAATTTCTCATGCGAAGGGTGTTATCCTTACCGCAAGAGCTAGTAACACCATCAAACCACCACCAACCACAACCACCACCACCACCATCCACCACCACCACCACTCACCGACTCTCTGCTCTGCCACTTTCAACGTGACAGCCGTGAGCGACACGGGAGGCGACCTTCCCTTGTCGTTGAAAGCCGAGATTCGGATGGTATAGGTTGTTCCGGGCTGCAATGATTCCACTGAGAACTGGGGCTCCTCTGAGGATCTGTTGAGGTGCAAGGAGCCCGCCTCGTCGTACGCCTCCGCCAGGAATAGCTGAGGCATCCCGCCGTCAAATCCTCTCTCGCACAGTACTTCGATGTTCTCAGCGGTGTTGTTGATGATGCCACAGTTTTCAGGCGAGGACGGGGGACCTGGGGAGAGGAAGAGGTTGGTGACTGTGTCAGGAGTTAGGATTGGGAGGAGAGAGAGAGAGAGAGAGAGAGAGAGAGAGAGAGAGAGAGAGAGAGAGAGAGAGAGAGAGAGAGAGAGAGAGAGAGAGAGAGAGAGAGAGAGGATGGTGTTAGTGCTTGCTGGGTCGACGAGCTGCAGCTCATGTTCATAATATGTGTGTGTGTGTGTGTGTGTGTGTGTGTGTGTGTGTGTGTGTGTGTGTGTGTGTGTGTGTGTGTGTGTGTGTGTGTGTGTGTGTGTGTGTGTGTGTGTGTGTGTGTGTGTGTGTGTGTGTTTGTGTGTGTATGTGTATGATTATTTACCTGCTTCTATTGGGATGATAACTAACTGTTGGGCCCCACCCAGAAGAAATTATATCGATGAGATTATTTCTAATGACTGTTTATTGGTAAACCATACCTATCCTGGAAAACCAAAATAACCATTTATACTAATTACCAGGTTGTTTAAAGGCGAGACAAAATAAATATAGTAGTATGGATGTGACGTCCACTATTGGACGCACAAGTAACTGGAAAAGGACGACAAGAAACAGGAATGAAAGTGAAACAAAAATTGATCATGAGCTGAGCTAAAGGGACCTCTGGGGTGTGACAGAGGGCGATGATTTTGGAACTAGATCAGAGAATTTGGGAAGTTCTTTGATGCAACCTGAAGGTTGTGAATTTCTGGACGAGAACCGAGATGTCTGCAACATTTGAGACTGGACGTGGCCGGTTGGGAAGTTCTGAGATGAAAAACGTTAGTGTTTAGAAATTCCGAAAAGAAAACATGTGGCGTTGGAGGGTCTGCGACAAGGCTATAGGATTGTGGGATATCTAGAGCAAAGTCAAGAAATTGAAAGTGTTTTTGGAAATTAACGTATGATAGAAGGGGTTCGTGATAGATAAGTAAACTTCTGAGGTAATCACGTTTAGTGAATAAAGAGATATAGATAGTTAAGAAAGGTGGGTAATTATGTATGGATGCGCCATTGAATGCCAGAAAACTACGAATACAAGGTCATGGGGGAGATCTGAAACAGAACAGCTTGTATGGGGGAGTCCGATATAAGGGTATTTAGATGTGGTAATCTCTGCGATGAGAACCAAATGTTCGTGTGTGGGAGCGTATTCGTGCAAGAACACTGAGTGTCAGGGAGTTCTGGAGTAGAGACCAAAAGGTGGAAGGGAGGAAGGAATTCTTGATGAACGCTCTGTTTTAGGGAGTTCTGGGAAGAGGACAAGAAGGTGGAAGGGTTAAAAATTTAACAAAGAACGCTCGTAGTCAGAAGCTCTGGCTCTTGAATATGGGAATAAGAGAAATTCTCGATTAAGAACAAGAGACTGGCAGGGAAATCTCCAGCAAAAATTTGGAGAATAAAACGGAGGGGTTTAAGACGTTCAGGAGAGTTTTTTGTTAAGGGGGGGGGGGAGGTGAGACGTATGGGGGATTTGGGTTTTAGGATGACGAGCAGTGCCAGGAGGTGGAGTAGAGTTAGGTCTTGGGTGGAAATGGAGAGGGCAGGGATATAACTATGCGATTACAAGGAAAATGAAAGTTTTAAAAACGTGACGAGATCGCAAGTCTAAAATCCGGGTAAAGTCACCTCTTGTATTGCTCCACGGAATTTATGTCTTCACTTAGTATAAAATATGGCACTAAAGATTTTCTACAGCATCTGATGCAAGAGATTTTCAAATATATTCCATGCCAGATTTTATGAAAATATTTTGTGGCTTGGGGGAATTTTTATTTTTTTTAATTTATAATACCTGATTTAGCTGTAATGTTTGTGTCCAGGAAATATTTACATTAAAACAATGTTTATGCATTATGCGTAAATAGTTTCTGATGAGGAATATATTTATATATATATATATATATATATATATATATATATATATATATATATATATATATATATATAGTATATATATATATATATATATAATATATATATATATATATATATATATATATTTGGAGGTCACCCTCTTCGGGAAAGCCTCACCAAAATTTCCAAGGAAAATTCTCTGGAGTACGGGGCGAACAAAGGCTGATCGTGTAGGTATGTTATATGCTTCAAGATATACTAGTGTTATCAATTATAAATACCCCTAGGAAATTTTCAGTCATTCATTTAGTGAAATCTAGCGTGTGATTAACATGGAGTTATTACTGAGAAAAAAAGATAATATGAAACGGAAGAGCAGAAGAAAACGAAAAGCAAGCATCTGAGACCCATACATTTGTTTCAGTGCTTCTTGAGGAAGGAAGGGCAAAGATATAGCCATCTATAGATAGAAATAGGTAGAGACCGAAATATTTAGAGATAGATAGAGAGAGAGAGAGAGAGAGAGAGAGAGAGAGAGAGAGAGAGAGAGAGAGAGAGAGAGAGAGAGAGAGAGAGAAAGGGGTGAGACAGGCAGATAGACCCGTTAGTATATATATATATATATATATATATATATATATATATATATATATATATATATATATACATACATATATTATATATATAATATAATATATAGTATATATATAAATATATATATATATATATATAATAGATATATAAATATATATATATATATATATATATATATATATATATATATATATATAATATATAATATATATAAATATATATATATATATATATATATATATATATATATATATATATATATATGATATATATATATATATATATATAGGAGTAAGAATACCTGTCAGTCTGTTTGTTGTCTCCCTCCATGTCCAAAGTTAGAGGGCTAGTTGTTTGGGGTTAACCTCATTCAAAGTTGCAGGTGGAAGGGTTACTCTACAGGACGGACATTGACATGTTAGGGTAGGCTAAATGTTTTAACTCAGGCCTACTCCAACACTCCATTATCATATATAAACACCCCCTGTCCGATTTTTATGGCGTTAAGGGTAAATATATATGGTGTGATTAGTTTTAGTGATCCTAATATATTTTCTGAGAGACCAACATAGATGTTTCACTGCTCTTTAATAATAATTTTTTTAAGAGATGTGGAAGAAGTTTGAAATCAGGGCGGAGGACGATACAGCACACATTAACTCCGATAAAGCGACATTTTAATTCCGATACAGTCACATAAACTCCGATTCAGTGACTCATTAGATCCGGTATAGTAACATATTAACTTAGATACAAATAATTGAACTCCGCTAAACAGACACATACAGTGGCACATTAGTCCGATACAGTGATACACAAACTCCAGCACAGAGAAACTTTAATCCGAATATGGTGACACACTAACCCCGATAAAGTGACACGTTAATTTCCAAAGTAGTGATACATTAACTTTAAGAGTGAAACATTAACTCCGATACATTAACACACACCAGATCCGATACAGTGACACTCCAGGTCCGATACATTAACACACCAGGTCCGATACATTAACACACCAGGTCCGATACAATGACACACCAGGTCCGATACAGTGACACACCAGGTCCGATACAGTGACACACCAGGTCCGATACATTGACACACCAGGTCCGATACATTGACACACCAGGTCCGATACATTAACACACCAGGTCCGATACAATGACACACCAGGTCCGATACAGTGACACACCAGGTGCGATACATTAACACACCAGGTCTGATACATTAACACACCAGGTCTGATACAGTGACACACCAGGTCCGATACAGTGATATTTTTACTCTGTCGGATCTTTTCCAGTTACCTAATGCAATAACTCTTCCCCAATCCTTCTGGGAAATTTTTAATGGTCTTTCGATCCCATTCCGTCCGCTGAACTCAATACTTTCTGCACACATCCATTCCACGTCCTTCTTTCTTCCGCGCCTGCTTATTTCTGCTTCTTCCATTTCCCCTTCTTAAAATCTGCTTAAAAACTTTATTTTGGCTGCCACCCACAACACTTTTCTCACTCCCCTGGGGAGCAATTTTACTGGCAGGTGAACAGAAGAGGTTTGTTATAGGGAACGTCGCCCCACCGTCTCTGTGCTGCTCTGGGATTGAACCTTGATTTCTCGATTATGAGCCGGAGTCGTACACTACTGTGCTACATAATTCTTATTTTGCTAATTAGCGCGTACTTCCTCTTACATTCTTATACCGTTAACTGATGTTTCATCTTCTTTTATCCACATATCATTAACTGGGTATCCATCTCATACCCTTTTACTGTTAATTAGTGTTCTATTCACTTACATTCTTATACGGTTAAGTGGGGTTCAGTTGTATTATATTCTCATGGTGTTAACTGGGGTTCCATTATTCAATATCCATATACCGTTAACTGGGGTTCTTTTGTCTAATTGTCTTACACAGTTGATGAACAGGGGTTCATTATTTTATATCTTTATACTGCTAACTGGATTTCATAATTCTATATCCTTATATCCTATATTTAATTATATAAGAATGATATATTGTATTCTTATATCATTAAATCTAATACTTTTTACATCCCTCGGCTTTGCACTTCATATTTCTTATATGTAATTTCTTATTCACTGTTAAGGGCCCTCTCCCGGATTCTTGGCACACTTGCATATTTCTAAATCTTGAAGCATCACCGCTCAATAAATTTTAAGATTCGTATAT